CTAGGCTTGAATGGCTACATATTGGCCCAGCTATTGCTGCAAGCATTTTAAATACTTTACATGCTTATGGAATTGAGAATAAATTATTTTATATTAGATTTGATAATGCTAGTAATAATGATTTTGCAATAAAAATTTTAAAATCTCAATTAAAACCATGTTTAAATGATAAATTATTTCATATCAGATATGCATGTCACATCTTAAATTTATGCATTCAGGATGCTTTAGATATCATTTCTACTCATATTTCTAAAATTAGAAATTGTATTATATTTATTAAAAGTTTTGGAGCAAAAAAACAATAATTTAAATATTTATGTCAAAATTATGGTTTAAAATATAAACATTTTATATTATATGTTAAAAATAGATGAAATTCTACCTATGCTATGTTAGAAAGTTGTATTTGTCATAAACAAATTCTTAATGATTTTTATAATGCAAAAATGCCCAATGATATTATATTTGAGATAGATTGGGAAATGGTTGTTTGTATAAGAGATTTTTTAAAACATTTTTATGATGCAACTAATGAATTATCGGGTATTTATTATCCAACTAGTTGTAATTTACCTTATCAATTAATGGAGATTAGTGATTGTTCTGCAAAATATAGAAATAATCCATAATTTAAAAGTATTGTGGAAATAATGGAAAATAAATTTAAAAAATATTGAAGAACATTTATCGTCTTTATTGTTTAACTACAATATTAGATCCTAGGATTAAGAAAGATAGATGGTTTAAATATTTTACTTGAAACATATTGTGAAAATATGAATATTGAAATTGGAAATAAAAAAGAAGAAATTAATAAATTATTATTTGAAATGTACTATTTATATGAATCTGAAGTAATAGATAATAATTCTACAACTTGTACAACATTTTCTACTTCTGAACTTAAGCCTAATAGTAAAAGAGAAAAACTTTTTTATTTAATAAGTAGAAGGTAGAAATCTGCTACCTCAACAACATGTTTATTTATTAAACTTAATTTTTATTTACAAGCATTTTTTTTTTTAGTTTAGGTGAGGAAACAAATAATTTTGATATTTTAGCATAGTGGAGTGAACATTCAAAAAATTATCTAGTTATTGCTATCATGGCACGTGATCTACTAACCCCTTTGGTGTTTATAGTTCCATCAGAGTTTTGTTTTAGTACAGGTACCAAGATGTTGAACGACAAGAGAAGCTGCATGAACGATGAAAGTATAGAGATGTGTATCTGCATTAAAGATTGGTTGGATGTTGAAGATATGTTAAAAGACAAAGGAGGGCATGACACTACACCAGATATTTCACCTGAAGCAGATGATGAAAGTCATGAACAATAGTTGACTAGTTGTATAGAATTATTTATTTTTTTCAAATTATTATAAATTTTGTTTTAATTTTATTTAATTTATTTTCTATTTTTTAACAATGTAATTTTGTATTTTTAATTTGTAACTATATTGTATTTTTTATATTTTATTGTTTTATTCCATTTTCATATTTCATTCATCTAAGTATCCAACCATTGTATGCTTTGTAATTTGTATCATTCAAATTTAAATGAAATAAAATTCCTATTTTTCTTCTAATTTGTTATTCCATCATTCTTATTTGGTAAGTATTTTTTTTCATTTATGTGTTAGATTTCTCATTTCTTAATTTTTCAAATAGTTCCCAAACCTTAAAGGAAAGTTAGATATTTTAGTTTTACACTTTTACTTAGAAAAGAAATCAAAATTTAAAAAAAAAAACAAGAAAAAAAATAGTCTAACACGACTCGGCCCATGCCCAAGGCCCGCCCTGTGGCCCAGCCCGGCACAGCCAGATCTTTCTTGTACCAAAAGCGACCTATGTCAAAAAGAAAAAATCCAACATCAAATGGGGTTGCTTCAGGTCAAGATCAAGTAGAACACAATACATGACTAAGGAAAAAGGGCTCCATGCATTCACCAAACTTTGTGTATTCAATATTGATGAAGTTACACACTGTCAGCTCAATAGTCCCTTCCACAAAGCAATCCAACGTGTTGTCTTCTTTGAATTGTTTCTTCTAATTTTACTAGGAGAGAGTGATTAAAAGGGGGATAACTGAGGGTCTTTTTGGTTTGTGGGAATAGAGGTCTGGAATCAGAATTGGATTAGGCCATTCTAATTCCAACTATTTGGTTGAGCAAAATCACGATCCCATTCCCATTCTCTCCTCCTCCCTTGGGAATGAAATTCCATTCCAAATGATTTCAATTCCCATTCTAATTCTTATTTGAACCAAATGGATTACAGAAATAGACCATTATGATTCCAATTTCGAGGGATTTCGGTTCCACTTCCGAGGGATTTCGATTCCGATTCCAATTGTAAAACAAATGGATTGTAAGTATTCTATCTCATTAATGCTTTGGATTAGCCATTTTATTGTTTAATTTATGCCTATAGAAACCACTTAAGTGATGTTCCTTTGGACGTACATCGACCATATTTTATTTTTGTTCTACATCTTTGTTAACATTTTTTTTTTCTTCTAGATGAGCCAAAGATCTCGGGTTTTGAAGATAAATATCATACATACATAAATGTAGGGGTGAGCATTTGATTTATTTGGTTAAAAATCAAGCTGAATAAACCAAATTTTTTAAAGATTATATATTGATGATGTGTGATCTAAAAGCTCCCCTGTTGGCTAATGACTCAGAAGCTGATTTGGATGGTTCCGTTATCTAGGCCGAGTTGTGCTGGGCCGAGCTACAGATGTCCAAGCTATATCAGAGAGCTATGTAATTTCTGAGAGACCTACAGGGAAACAATATTAGTCGAGCTGTGCTAGGCTGAGCTATATAACAGAGAGTTGTGTAATTTTCTCAAAGACCTGTAGGGAAATAATATTAGTCGAGTTGTTTTGTTCTGCTAGAGAGATAGAGTTAGAGTGCTTGAGTGTCTTTACCCAGGGAGGGCACTCCGATGCTTAAGTTAGAGAGTGTTTTGAAAGTATTTAAGAAAGTGAGAGAGCTTGAGAGCTTGTATTCGCACATACCTTCTCTCAGGAAAATAGTGCCTTTATATAGGTGTGAGGGATTAGAGACCTCTTGCAGCGGGTCCCATCTTCTCACAAAGCCATTTTCACATAGTTAGCTGAGTTATTACGTCAGTTATGTGATTTGCACAGGCGTTACAGCTCGCCTGAATAACTCTAGCGTGGGTAGGTCGACCTAACGAACGAGCATTATTACTCTAGAGAACTTGGTCTTGATAACAGATCTGTGTAGTAGGTCGTCACTTATACCCTACTTAGCTCAACCAATCTCTAAAGGAGGTCGCTCCTTAAGTGGAGGTCCTTTAGGTCGGCCAGGCCAAGGTACTTTAGGTTGGCCATAGACAAGGTGCTACTAGCCGACCTATTGGGGTGATCTACTTACTCAATGTCGAGGTGTTACTTGGATGCCATGTGTCTCTAGAGGTAGGTCTCCAGGTCTCCACTAGACCTCCGAAGGTAGGTCGCTAAGTCGGCGAAGGTAGGTTTCCAATAGGTATCTGGAGGTAGGTCTCCAGGTCTTCGGTAGGTCTCTAGAGGTAGGGTTTCTGGTGGTAAGTCTCAATCATTTTGGCTAAGACAAGTCATCGCCTACGTGGTGCCGAGGTGTCATCTAGCTGTTTTGAGGTGCTACATGTCATGATGTCAGTAGAGGGCCAAATCTACCCTCATCACATATAAAAATAAATCCAAATATGAAACCAAATTATAGAAAAACCAAAATCAAAATTTTTGGTTAAAATTGAAGAACTTCAATAACATATATACTATAATATTATATATATATATATATATATATATTATGACATATAATATATATATATATATTATGACATATAATATATATTATATATTATGCATTATATGTTACATATTACATGTTTTATAGCAAAGTTCCATTAATTCAATTTTTTTATTAATCAAATTTCTAATTCTAAAAACCAAAACCACAATCGAAATATTCAAAAGCTAAATTAACTAAACCAAAATTTTTTATTCGATTTTTTATTTTAACGAATTATGCTCACTCCTACATAAATGCATCTTAATTTTAAACCAGAGAAGATGGTTGGTGCTTGATGGGGGGGAGCAAAAAAAAAAAAACTGAAAAATCGAACCAGCCAAAAAAATCCGAATGAAGCCGAATAAAAAATTTGGTTAACCAAACCAGTCGGTTCGGTTTTGGTTTAATATTTAAAAAAACCAAAGGTACCAGTTCAGTTTCGATTAACCAAAATAGAAAACTGGCGGTTAACCGAACCGACTAGTATACATATATTTATATATATGTTATATATTTTCTATACATTATAAATTAATAAATATGTATCATATATAAATATATATTTTATAATTATAATATATTATTTATTATTTAAAATATAATATTATATATATTTCTAATATTTCATTATATATTTATATATTTTTGTATATTAAATATTATAAATAATATAAAACTGAAAATCGATGGTTAACTGAACCGATCAACCGATCGGCTTTGATTTGGTTTTGGTTACCGATAACTCCGATTCGATTTCAAAAATTAGCCCACGGTTCGTTTTACCGAACCGTGAGCATCCCTGACTGCCTGATGGAACAATTTAGTGGTGGTGGGGTCTCTATCCCTTCTATATATTCTTACCACCTGTTTGGTTAAGACTCCGGTGATTGAAGATTCCACACCTCTAACTGTTGAAAACATTTCCAACACTACTTCAGTCTGACGTTGCCGGCTAGCAGCCTAGCGCTCCTCAAGAGGAAAAAAATCAAAAAGGGTATTACTGTAATTGTAATAAAAATATAGGAAAGGATGGTGGTGGGGCAAGAAACGTGTGGTTCGAACTTAGAAGTTGCCACCACAGACTTCATCTTATCTCATATCGTATGTGTTCTCACCACACACTAGTTTAATCCTTCCCAACCAGATATGAAATAATATTAGCAAAACCATTGACATCATTCAATTACTGTATATATACCGAAAAAGTTCTTCCACTGGTTTTAATTGCAGCCATGGCCACTCACGCAGCTCTAGCTTCCTCAAGGATTCCGGCCAACACAAGGCTTCCCTCTCGGAGCTCTCACTCTCACGCCACTCAGTGCTTCTCTAAGGTCTCTTTCTCTCTCATAGTCTCATTTCAAATTCCTTCGTGATACAAAAAGCAGGTTTGAAGTGCACATTTTTTCTGATTTCTTTTTGGTTGCAGAGGCTTGAAGTGGCCGATTTCTCTGGACTCCGATCCAGTACGTCCGTGACCTTCGGCAAGAATGCCAGAGAGTCGTCTTTCTTTGATGTGGTGGCTTCCCAACTTGCTCCCAAGGTGGGGGTTACGACTTTAATTTATATGGTTTTCTAATTACTTCCGGTTAATCTCTAATCAGTACTAACCGGTAACAAACTCTGAATTTTCTTCATCCATTAACTGCATCTGTAAAAATGCATGATTCCATCTTTAATTCTTTTTCTTTCATCCAACCTTTTCTTTTATTAGGTTGCCGCTTCTACACCTGTTAGGGGAGAGACAGTCGCTAAGTTGAAGGTAGCAATCAATGGTTTTGGACGCATTGGCCGGAATTTCCTCCGGTGCTGGCATGGCCGGAAAGACTCACCCCTGGACGTCGTTGTTGTGAACGACAGTGGCGGTGTTAAGAATGTAAGAGAAATTACTTTCAGCCAGTAACTCCAGAAAGAGATCTTCCGATTGCAGAATAACTTTTCGCTTCCTCTGATTGATATCTATCGCAGGCTTCGCACCTTCTCAAGTATGATTCGATGTTAGGAACTTTCAAGGCGGAAGTGAAGATCGTGGATAACGAGACCATCTCCGTTGATGGTAAGCCGATCAAGGTCGTCTCAAACCGGGATCCTCTCAAGCTACCATGGGCAGATTTAGGAATTGACATCGTTATCGAGGTAACCTTTATTTCCAAATTCAAATCCCTCTTTCGCAGATTGCCACGTGGAGCAATATATCCTTTGTCAATCCAGAATTTACATCAGATAAAGTTCAATGTGTTAATTTACTAGCTCTCACAGTCCATACCATCCCGATGAAGAATTCCCCAAATTACCTTTACCATCCAAACCGGTGTTTTCAGTTTGGGCCAAACTGGATGGTTGAACCGGTTACCCAGTGAACTTTTTTGTTTTCAAATCTGATCTGAGTTTTACAACATTGATCCTAAGTTCTGATTTTTTAAGAATCAAAATTTTACAATATGAGGAGTTCTGGGGCATAATCAGTTTGAGGTAGCCAAGCCTTATACTGACCCCGAACATGTTTGAAAAAAAAAAAACACATCAAATGTCAAATATACCCCATCTAACATATAGGACTGTATGGATACTTTGAACCATGAATATTTATATATAAAATGAATGAATTGCACAAAATCTTTTTATTTTATGCCTAATAACTACATTTATATGTAAGAACTCTTCTTTTGAGGAAACCCCATTTTAATGGGGAGATCAATTATAATAAAATTGCAGGTAAAATATTCATAATTATCTAACTAATTAGTAGTCTAATTAAGTCACATGCATGGAGTTTAATACAGGGAACAGGAGTGTTTGTGGATGGCCCAGGTGCTGGTAAACACATTCAAGCTGGGGCTAAGAAGGTTATCATAACAGCTCCAGCCAAAGGAGCAGATATTCCAACCTATGTTGTGGGAGTGAATGAAGGAGATTACGACCATGAAGTAGCAAACATTGTGAGGTTGGTATTGATTGCAAGTTTTTCACCTTTATTGTTATTTTTTTTAGTTTAAGTTTAGTGATGGCTGTTAATTTAGAAATCATAAGCTTAATTAAAATTCTGGCACTTGCAGCAACGCTTCTTGCACTACAAATTGCTTAGCTCCTTTTGTGAAAATCATAGATGAAGAGTTCGGTGAGTGTCGTATAAATTTTAAGTGAGGATTTGAACACTGTTTGAGCCATGGTATTTAAAAACGAACCGGTGATTGAACCGGTCAGGGATCCGGTTATCGGTTCAAACAGTTCGATCGTTCGACCCGAATGGCCGGTTCATTTTGACAAAAAAATTAAAAAATTTAAAAAATTAGAAAATGGTCAAAACCGTTCGAACGGTTAATCAACTGGTTCAGCAGTTTGCTGACCAAAATCAACGGTTTTGGGGAAAAAGCGGTTTTAGGGGGAAAACAGAATCGATCAGGTGACCAGTTCCCAGTTTTTTTGATCCAACCATCCAGTCCGGTCCGGTTTTAAAAACCATGGTTTGAGCAATCAAACAAGGATTAATTAATTACAGCTATAATCTAACTACCACTCATTTCCTTTGTAGGTATTGTTAAAGGAACAATGACAACTACTCACTCCTACACAGGGGATCAGGTAATAGCTCAAACTCTGAAAATTCTAGTTTGCAGACCAAATGGGTGTTAGTAATTGTTTAGTTTTTGATCGTAAATTTGATGATTTTGTCCCAAGTGAATTTAGGGGTGTCAATGGACCAAAACATTGGACCTCGTTCAATTAGACCAGTTCAGATTTAATGGTCCAAAGTATTTATTGGATTGGATTGATCACCATTTATCTACAATTGATTTATATTGAATTGGGTCAGATTGAATTGATATCTTATCTATTGATAGAAGATAAGAATACAGGTGTCAATGGACCATGTTTGGATTAGACCAATTGATATCTGATTTATTGATAGAAGATAAAATTACAGGTATCAATGGATCAAGTTTGGATTAGAACCAATTTGAACAGATTGAATGGTCTAAACATTGAATTGGACTGATCCAAAATGGTCTAAATTATTCCTCAGATTGGACTGGATTTTTGATCCATCTGTAATGGAATGGATTTATATTAGACCCGACCGGAATGGACCAAATTCGGTCCAATTAACACCCCTACAACTACAAGAGATAAATAGATTAATTAATGCATTAAATCCCTAAACAATATTGCTGCAGAGGCTTTTGGATGCATCCCACCGTGACTTAAGGAGAGCAAGAGCGGCTGCACTGAACATAGTCCCAACAAGCACGGGAGCAGCCAAGGCTGTGTCTCTAGTATTGCCCAAGCTCAAGGGCAAGCTCAACGGGATTGCACTTCGAGTGCCTACACCTAACGTCTCGGTTGTGGACCTGGTTGTAAATGTTGAGAAGAAAGGAATTACAGCCGAAGATGTGAATGCGGCCTTCAGGAAGGCAGCGGAGGGACCACTGAAGGGCATATTGGCCGTGTGTGACGTGCCTCTGGTGTCAGTAGACTTCCGATGCAGTGATGTCTCCTCCACCATCGACTCCTCACTCACCATGGTGATGGGAGACGACATGCTCAAGGTTGTCGCGTGGTATGACAACGAGTGGGGATACAGGTAAGCCATGCGCACACACCAAGATTAATTATACCAATTTTCATAGCTTTTGAAGCTTCATATTTATATCAGACGTATCCTATCATATTTTTGGGTATTATACCTGTTTAGGAATTCATTTTTTCATTTAATATATAAAATCAAAATAAAAAAATAGAAGAGGTATGCTTGAAATACAGATCAGTGTTTTTGAACCTCTGTTGATCCAGAGGTCAGACCATTTGGCCAGTAAATCATTCAGGCAATCTTTTTTTTTCACCCTTAATTTGGTCGTTGGTCAAAAATCGTTGATTTGGTCAGTGACCCGAGTCGAACTATTGACCTGTTTAACGGTCTTTTAGATGTTTTTTATTTTAATTAATACTAATATTAATATTATTATTTTTTAAGTTGGAATGAACCATCCATTCAAACCAGACAGTCGAATCATCGACCTAAACTGGTGGCTTGGATGAGTCCAGTTCTAAGTTGGTTTTTAAAACCTTGGTACAGATACATTTCTGCTAAGACTCAGTTGGGAAAGAATACAAATACAAATATGTAGAATGCAAAAGCAAAACCTTGTATTTTGTATGTATTTATACTCCTTTCAAAATGAGCCTAAGGCAGTAAGGCTGTATTTGGTTGCAGTACAAATTTATTTGCACTAGAACAAATGTATAAAAATACAAATGTAAAAAATGTAAATTCTTATTTAATTTTATTTTAAGTTTTAATTTATTCTGCTTTATATCTTAATTTACTTCATTTATACTGCAATCAAACAAAATAAACTAAAATTTAAAACAAAAATATATAAGTTAGAATTTACACTCGTGAACCCTGTGCAATTTTTGCTTTTTTGTGTAGCCAACGAGTGGTTGATTTGGCGCACTTGGTGGCTAGCAAGTGGCCAGGAGCAGCTGCATCAGGAAGTGGGGATCCACTTGAAGACTTCTGCAAGACAAACCCAGCAGATGAGGAGTGCAAAGTCTATGAAGCTTAATTGTTTAATTAGATTCTTTTTCATCTCAAGTTAATTAATTTACTTTCATATTTATATAGCTATATGTCTTGATCGATGGACATGATGCTTTGCATGCAAGGATTAAGGTTTATTTCTGGTCCTTGCGTTTTGTGATGAGAAATCGGGCGAAACTAATGAAATAAGGTTAATTAGCCAACTTACATTGAAGTGTTATTTTCTTTCTTGTTGAATATTTGGAAGAATCACCTTAATGTTTGAATGTCTATAGGCCATAAATCTACTGCCCGTTTGGGAGGGCTTTTGGGATGCAGTTTCTGGCGTTCCCAACTGGGTTTTACATAGAAATCTTTGAGTTGTGTTTGGTTTGAAAGAAAAGGTAAAAAAAAGAAGGGAAATGTAGGAAAACCTATATAAGGTTTGTACAAGTTTGAGGTTTCCCTACCTTTCTCTTCTTTTCTCTATCTACTTTTTCAAACCAAACATGACCTGAAGTTATGTTTGGTGAAAATCTAGAAAACCAATATGTACATTCCATGGTGACCGTAATACAAAGCTACCCAAAAGGTCCCAGATGATGCCCTAATGGTGGCACTCTTGCCGAATTGAATTACCACAATGACCATAGTGACTCTTTACCAATTTGACAAACAACTGCAACTCTATGTATGAGAATAACAAAGAGAGAGATATATATGACTAATGGTCGAATTAATTGTATTCGACTCTTCCATGTTTATTTATATAGAGTACAAGAATGAGATATACAATGGTAAGTTCTATCTGATCTAGGATAGGTTTAAATGTAATCCTATTTAGGATAAGACTTATCTTACCAGGATAAGTGTTATCCTTTACAAAGATAATCTGCAGGGATAACTGTTACTAGGATAAAGGTTCTCTACAAGTAGGATATATACAATAGGAGAAGAACTTAAAGTACAAGATGAGGTAGGAGTCTTGGTTGGATACATGCATGGGACATGCACCTGAACATGCGCATGTGCCATGCACGTAATAGCTGTAGCTTACACCCCCCTCAAGCATAATCGAGGATAAACGGTAAGCTTGTGATGAAGAACCTCAAATTGTGGAAAGGGGCTTGGTGAGAGCGTCTGCTAATTGATCAGCCGAGGGGATGTACCGTACATCAAGAAGCTTAGCTGCAATTTTTCTCGTATGAAGTGAATATCCAATTCGATGCGTTTAGAGCGAGAATGAAGTGCATGATTATTAGCATGAAATTTAGCCCCCATGTTGTCGCACCATAAGGAAGATATCTAGTTCTTGGAGTAGCATATGAAGCCACAAAACCTCAATAGCTGCAGAAAATAAACTACAATATTCTGACTCAGTGCTTGATCGAGCCACCATTGGTTGCTTTTTGGAACTCCAAGAAATTAAATTAGACCCAAGGAGCACACAATAACCACTCTAAGAGTGGCGATCCATGAGGCAGCTTCCCCAATCAGCATCAGAGTAAGCAACAAGAGAGAATGTACGGCATGGTTAAAGAAGCATACCATAAGTAATTGTTCCTTTTAGGTATCAAAGAATCCTTTTTGTAGCAACCCAGTGGATAGTAGTGGAAGTTTGCATGAACTAACATACCTTATTCAGAGAGCCCAAATCATGTGATGAGGATGTTGTCCACATAAACAAGAACTAAAATGATATCAGATCTAGAATGAGAGATAAATAAAGAGGCATCTGTTCAGGATTCGAGAAACCCTAGGGATAAAAGGGAATCATGTAGCCTTGTAAACCATACACGAGGTGCCTATTTCAAACCATATAAGGATCGATGGAGGCGACAAACATGTGTTGGAAATCTGGGATCAACAAACCCAACTAATTGCTTCATATATATCTCTTCTGAAATGTTACGATGTATGAAGGCATTGCTAACATCCAATTGGCGAACATCCCAATTAAAAGAAACTGCAAGATATAATACTATAAGAATTGTAGCTGGTTTAACCACATGGCTGAATGTCTCATCATAATCAAGACCAGCTTCTTGAGAGTACCCCTTGACAATAACACGAGCTTTGAAGTATTCAACCGAACCATCAGGCTTACATTTGATTTTAAAAACCCATTTGTTGCCAATAATATTTTTATCAGGTGGGGCCGGGACGGGAGTCCATGTTTTATTATGAAGTAAAGCCCTATACTCATCAGTCATAGTAAGAACCCAGTGAGGATCCTTATGAGCTTAAGAATAACAAGTTGGTTTGGATTCGGGAAGGGGACTAGCAAGTAGGGCATACCTTGGATTTAGCTTGAAGATACCATGTCGAGCTCGATTGGTCATGTGATGTGAAGAAGAGGAAGGCGGCAACAAGATACCATGTCGAGCCTGAGTGGGCAGAGTTAGTGGATTCAGCATTGGAAGGTGGCGACACATCATACTGAGACGAAGATGGAAAAGATGAAACTTCACCTAGAGATGTGTTGTCAGATGCAACAACAAGGGGAGGGGCCCCAACTAGAAGAACTGGAATCGATGATGGGGGTGGTGCAATATCAGTGGCAATAAGAAACGGAAAGGAATCCTCATTAAAAATAACATTGCAAGAGATAAAAATTCATCCTGTAGTGCGATGCAAGTAGACATACTCCTCGTGAGAATTATAATACCCAAGAAATACACATGAAAGAGAGTGAGTTTGTAACTTGTGCTTATTGTATGGCCAAACATGTGGAAAACACTCACACCCAAAGGCATGGAGTTCGAGGTAGTCTGGAGGGCGACCAAATAATTTCTCAAATGGAGAGGATGATCCAAACAACAAAGTAGGAAGATGATTAATGAGATCATATGTAGTGGAGAATGACTCAAACCAATATTTTGGAGGAACCCTAGCATGAGTCATAAAAGCAAAGCCTATTTCAACAATATGGTGATGTTTGAGCTCAAAACGCTCATTCTGTGCCTATGTATGCGGGCATGATATTCGGTGAGAGATACACACATGATTGAAATAGGTTTCAAAGGTCTTGAATTCAGAGCCACCTTCACTTTGAAAATATTTAATTTTAGTATTAAAAAGTAATTCAACATTGGCTTTGAATTTCAAGAACGCATTAAATACTTCAGATTTGCAAGTAAGAAGAAATATCCAACTATAGCAACTGAAATCATCAACAAAAAGAATGTAATAATGATAACCATAAGCAGATGTCACTGGAGAGGGTCCCCATAAATCACAGTGAATTAATTCTAAGGGAGAATTACTAATGGCATGATTCTAGGAAAAGGGGAGTACATGGCTCTTAGCTATTGAGCAAGCTGAACAAAAATTTAAATCAGTACTAGGGATTACTAGTAAATGCTGAGAAGAAATAATTTGTTGAGTCACTCTAAGAGCAGGGTGACCTAGTCGATGGTGCCAAATTGCAGGGTTGGCACGAGTACCTACAAATGAAAAAGGAGATGAAGCTGATATCTTGAGTGGAAGACGAAGTTGATACAAACCATCCTTATTCGACCTTTGAAGAAGTATCATCCCGGTGGGTTGATCTTTCACAAAGAATTCATGATGATGAAATTCAAAATAAACATTATTATCAGCATAAAACTGGGCCACAGATAAGAGATTGAAGGAGATCTGGTTGGATACGTGCATGCACCATGCATGTAATAGTGTACCCTCATGGTTTAACTAATTGACTAAGTGTACCCTTACTGTTTGAAAATTGACTATCGCTACCTCTACTGTTTCTGACAATTGTCTAAATCTTCCAAGAATCGTTAAGCATGGACGGAAAAAGTCAAATGTCCGTTTTACCCTTCTACAAAGTTACGTTTGTGTCCCTCAATATAACTTAACTCAAACACTTGCCCCATTAGTCGAAAGAGGGAGGAGCACCATCCATTAATGCAGCCATCATCATCGCCAATGACGATGGTCACTGTAACTACCGAACGGTAGAGCGTGCGCAGGCGGGCGGAGATCTCTACTGCCCTTCCCTCCTTCTCTCTATTTTAGAAATCTGATCCTTTCAGATTACTTGTCCGAGCGCCGGTTTGGTTTGATGGAAAAGGAGATGTAGAGAATAAATTGTACTGGATTTCAATCTGCACTCAATCAAAAAAACATGGAATCTCAACTTGTTTCCTGACCACTTGTCTATAATGAGAGAAATAACACAAAAGCGGTATGAAGGGATCTATTGAAGAAAAATGAATTCCCGAGCTTGAGTTTCATGGAGCTAATGAGTGAATGATGGATGGGGAGCAGGAAGAAACAGGGAGGAGAGAGATTTCTTTCCGTTGGGAGGAGAGAGATCTCTTTCCGCGGCTTCTCTGTTCTTCATCTCAAGGTGGGAGACGATGAACAATAACTCTTCGTCCCTCTCAAGTTATTTCATTTGTGAGGGAGGGCGACAGAGATAGGGAAGGTGCGTTCTTGCTTCCTCTCAACACTAGACACAACCATACGCGCCGTATCACCCATCTTCAATGTCTCTATTAGCAGCGGCAGGGGAGGTACCGTTCTTCTCCATCCAATATCCTCTCTCCTCCTATTCTCTCTTCTTCCCCCTCTTATTATTCTTCTATTTCCTCCAGGTTCCACTCCCTCTGCCTTTCCCAATTGTTGTTGCCTCTTAGCAGTGGCGATCTATTATATGGTGGGGTTTGAGCTTGGACCTTCTTTACCACCTTTTCTGCTGCAACTCTTTTCTCTGCCGCAACCCTTTTCTGTTCCTCTCAGGTCTCCTGCAACCATAGAAGACGTCAGAAAGAAGTAAACGAAGAGATGTTAATGGATGGGAAAAGAGAAGAAGATTAGAACATCCATGAAGATTAGAACTATGTGTCTTAAAGACAAACCTACCAGCACCTCTTCATCTATGACAATGTCAAGATCAAGGCTGACACCAACTTCAATTTCCCCCCTGTCACCATTGGAAGAGACTTGGAAGTGTGGTAAACACGACCCTTCTGTTGATTGTTAACATGTTGCTTCAAGCGATGGATCTATTCAACCCAGAAATTATAGTAATCGGAAGAAAGATGAGGACACCCACAGAGTGTCCTTTGGTTCCAATACTGAAGATTGAATCCTAATCCCCCAATCATGAACTTAGATGGCAAATCCTACTAGGCTGTTGTATAAAAAACCAGCCCATGGCTATCAAAGACCCAACCGTAATTCAATTTGGAACCCCAATAGTAACTAAATTCACCCCCCCATT